AACTCAAGACCAAGCTGAAAGTCCCGCTAATGAATACCTAGCCAAAGTAGGTACCTTGCGGACTTTTTGTTCCACGGCACGCCGCAGTCATGTAGGAGCTCTGAAGGATCGAAATTGAGCTTGTGTCGACAATTGCAACATTATTTGCGTTGAGTTCATGTTCCCCATGGGGAATGTCCCTGAACAGACTGGGCCCGAGTAGTGCCGAATTATCCGATCTCTGTTTACTTACCTGGTAGGTACTGGGGCGGGTCGTCAACTCCTCACCCTAACTTGACTTGGACATAACTATGTCGAAGGATCATCGCTTATTGGTAGCTGCATACGAACACTAGTGTTCTAGGCTTCAGTTTAAGGAAGCGCACAAATCAAGATGATCGATTCTGATTCCTAACTTATACAAGTAGTTGTCAGACTGAGCCGTATGCGGGGGATTTGACAAGGGCGACTAAGTAGGTGGCATTCGAATCCTTCATCGGTTGCCGCTCGATGTCTATCATGGCTCGTATATAGGTGTTTTTGGTACTTCCTAAGGTCTTAGAAGGATTCAAACGCATAGCCGCGAGTAAATTTTTGACCCTCGACAATCCAAGAAGTCCAATGTCATTCGCGGAAATTCAAGACAGAAGTTGGGATCGGATTGAACAAGACAGCGTGGTTGGCGCGCCTGGTTTTCATTGACGTCGAAGGAAGAAAGCCTAGATGCCCATGGCAGATGGAATGTGATTCACAAGACCAAGGAGCACAAAGCACTATTGAAACTGGCGAGGAAAAATTATAAAATGCTCGCTTTTCCCGCGCTTCAACTGCTTCTATCTCTCGTAGCTAACAAGTAAGTCAACCATCTTCCTAGTTACCTTATCTTACTTCAGTCTGTGAGTATCCAAGCCTCTTAAACCCAGTCTAGGGTATCTACCGAGTGCAAGACTAACGATGCCAGCACATACTTTTGCACATTAAACTTCTCCATCCGCCTCAACCACAATGAAGTTCACCGCATTCATCCTCACTGCTCTCGCAGCTGCCGTTGTATCGGCCACCCCAATCGCCGAAGCCGAAGCCCCTGCATTGACCTTCAGAGGTGAACAATTGGAGGCTCGCGCCTACTGGTGCACCGCTTGCAAGAACGGAAAGCAAACCTGCTGCACCGCCACCCAGTGCAGCTCTGGCTACCCGTGCTAAGCGATGAGCTTGGAGCGAGATTGGCTGAATCTATGTCGGATGTCACAAACTCAACGGCTTTTTGTGCCACTGTCTAACACCAAAAGGGCATATTCATGGCCGTTGAATCATCTTGGGCAACGAGTGTGATGGCTTGTGACGGAATGGTATAGCTTTCATGGGTCTCAATATTAGGCAGTCATCGAAATATTCAGTCGAACTATTGCTTAGAACAGTAACCTATCACCAGACTTATACTGTAATCTTGAAGTTGAAAATTTGCGTCTGCTTATTCCTTTGAAGTGTCGGTTAAGGCGGTTAGTGCTCGTCACCTCATTTTGCAAAGCACAATCATGATCTTCGGCCAATGGAGTTTGCAGTTGCATCTCTGTTGTGTTCTACCCTGACCAGTTCGCACTCTCAGTACTCACGCAAAGTCGCTCTACCACCACTCCATTCTTGAGCAAGTACTTGTAGTGCGTTGCGGCTCTTAGTGAAGCTCCGGATCTATTCCTAATTGATCTCTTGGAGATACGGGCGTAGTCGCTGCGGATCTATCGAAGTTATCAACTCATCCGAGTTCCGCTGACAAGTTGCTGACGAGTTGCGGACCACGTTTGCAATGGATTCAATACTATGCCCAATCCCCGTTTCCTCCGATCATCAAGCGGGCTCTCAGGGGAATAAGAGTTGTTTGGCAGCATCCGATTGCTGATCGACAGGTCCAGGTGGAGGGCGCGGCAGGGATTTGACTCGCAAACCCATAGCAGAGACGTGTAACCCCTCCATCTCACCAATGACGCCCTTCTCTCAACTGGAGAACTGCCGATGTCAACGTTGAAGAGTGTGGGGTTCTGCCCACCAATTTCCGATGAAAGGCGAACCGTGCAACGTCTTGTTTCCTGTTCGGGCAGCGCAGAGTCGCGATGCTAGTGGACCATCGGTCCATTGAAGGATGTCATTCAGGAGTCGGGATTGCTAGGATGTCGAAAAATTGCGAAGAAGCCCCCCGACTTCCGGAGGACTTCCGTGATATAATTCTAGAGCCTCTCCTGATGTTGAAGGGGACAGTTGCCAAGCCACTTTCCTCAACTCCAGTCTGTCGCTTCAGTCACAGAAAGTCGCCTCCGTCATGATGTGCAACGCAAAGTTCGTAGCCACCTTTGCCGGCCTCCTCGCCTCCGCGAGCGCAGGTCCCAGCGTGCAACTTGACAACGGTCTCACGGTCCAGGGCCGGATCGCCCCCGACGCTGCCAACGTCGCCGAGTTCCTTGGCATCCCCTACGCCGCGCCGCCCCTCGACGATTTGCGCTGGGAACCCCCTCAGCCCTACGTCGCTCCCCAGTCAAGCAATCCTTTTGCCAATGGAACCGTCCTCAACGCCACGGCGCTGCCGCCCTCGTGTTGGCAGTACATCTCCATCCACCCGGCCATTCAGCGCGTGGACGTGCCCGAGTTTATGATTGGCGATGCCGGCATGGACGAGGACTGCCTCACTGCTAGCGTGTGGGCTCCTGCCGGTGCTGTTCCCGCTACCGGTGAACAACAAGCTTCCGGAGAGGGACTCCCGGTCATCATTTGGTTCTACGGCGGCGGCTTCGAGACGGGCGGCACCGATGTTCCCTACCAGATGCCTCAAAACTGGATCCAGCGCTCGCAGTCGCACATCTTCGTCACCTTCAACTACCGCATGAAGCTCTTCGGTTTCCCCAACTCAGCCGCACTTAAGGAGCAGAATCTTGGACTCATGGACCAGCGCTTCGCCGTCGAGTGGATCCGCGACAACATCGCACAGTTTGGCGGTGACCCGGAGCGCATGACTATCTGGGGCCACTCCGCCGGTTCCATCGCCGTCGACTACTACAGCTTCGCGTACGCCGAGGACCCCATCGTCAGGGGCCTCATCATGGACTCCGGCACGGCGCACCTGGACCAGCTGATGAACCACGACGAGACTCACTCCAACTTCACGTTCGTCGCGCAGCAGCTTGGATGCGGCAACTCGACAACTGCCGAAGCGGAGTTGGCATGCATGCGCAAGATTCCTGCAGAGAAGCTTGAGAACTTTGTGGCTACGTACAAGGATTCCGAAGTTACGCCTACCATTGGTTTCTCTCCTCAGGTTGACAATAAGATTGTCTTTGCCAACTACACCGAGAAGGCTGCTCTTGGCGAGCTTTCCGACCTTGTAAGCTCACTTTTAGGAGATGATTAAAGAACAAGTGATTTGCTGACAAACTTAAAGCCCGCAATCATTGGTTTCAACGCCGCAGAGGGCCTCTTCCTTGCCCCTTACGATGCGGAGAACGGCCCCGACCCCGCCGTTGCGGACGCCTTGTCCTACCAGTTCTTTTGGTGCCCTGCTACCAAGACCACCAAGTGAGTATCCTGTGCATTGTCCATCACGCGTTCCCTTATTCTAACCAACAAAACTCAGTGAGCGTCTTGCTGCGGGAAGAACCACTTACCGCTACTACTATTCTGCCGTGTTCAACAACACCTCGCCCCGCCCATGGATGGGTGCCTACCATGGCAGTGAGCTTCCCATGATCTTTGGCACGCACGCCGACTTCCGCGGTAACTCCACTGCTTTTGAGTATGAGCTCAGCCACGTCATGATGGATGCGTATGCCGCTTTTGTGAAGGACTCAACCGCGGGTTTGGACGCTATCGGATGGCCTGTCTACACGGCCGAGGACCGTCTTGTTCGTAGCTACGGCCAGAACAACAACGTCACCGTCGGTAAGCGCACGTTGTCTGATATTGAGACAGAGTGTGAGAGCCAAGGGCTTTTGTAAAAGCATTTGATACTCTAAGTTTCAGTTCATATTACGTTCCATCAATTAATTGGAAATCATGATTCATGAGACTTGTTAACTTGATATGATCTTGATGTAAAGTTTGTGGGAAATATTTCAGGCGCATTTTGTCCTTATCCCGCAATTGGCTTTCAACTTCCAAGCAATCGAGTAGTTGTAAGTTGTTTATGCATGTATCTTCCCTCAAAATTCCTCTCGATACTTAATTGCCGTTGACCGCTGCGACTTGAGCCTTCTGGAAGTTTTGCTATATTCGAGTTGGAAACAGACATTAGTTGGCTCGGGTTATTAAATGTTTCCTGGACTTCAGGGCTCCAGAGAACTTGTGGTCTTGAGCTCGAGGCTAGTCTGGAAAACATTGTGGCTCTTTGATCACGAATCCGAAGTAGGGTACTTACCTCATGAGGTATCTATGCATAAGTAAGGCAATGTATTCACCCAGGCATTGTGACAATCCTATTCTTCTACTGCAAATTTACTATCAAATCTTTCACACTCTTGTTCAAGACAATGATGATGATGCCCAACTAAATGCTGCGTTGCGGAAAGAAGTCCAAAGGCCAACGACACATGGGAAAACAAAGAGTCTGGGCAACTGAAGCTATCAAGTTCATTACATCTCACATACACAAACTCACCTTGTCAATTAGTGAATAGTTCTCATCATGTTCTATGAGATATGCCATATCCATCTGTGAAATCAGGCACTTTGGTCTCCTTGGCATTTCGTCTAAAGTATTTACTATGACATTGGACCATTCCCGCCTTTCGTCCCATCAATTACATTCTTATCGTCTTAACTTCTTCATCATAACTTGGAACCGTTCCAGCAGTCCCAGTTCCATTACAGCAACTTTAGGTTACTTCAGCCGTCTTAACATTTCCATGTCTTTCTCAGACTTGGGATATGGTGGCTTCCACCGTTCGTCCGGTCTACCTTACCAAACTTTGAACTGCTCCCGCCTCCTCGATTTCCTGCGGCTTGTACAGCTACTGGCAGCCGTGTCGACTGCGGCTCACATGATTCCCGTCACTCTACTCAACTGCGGCTTTGAAGGCATCATGATTCCTGAGGACAACTCATCCTGCTTAGTCGACAATCATAGTCTGTCTACCATTGTGATTAGTCGTCAAGGGCTTTTCTTTTGTTTACCTTTCTCTCTCTCTCTTTCTCGTCGCATCGCCCACCTTCCAGGAAACTATTCTTTTCTTCAACCGCGATTTTGGTCAGAATTCAATCAAACACCAAATACGCCATCACGCATTATCATTGAAATAAGCTCCAGCATTCCTCTTCGTCGTAAGTTCTTCATTCTCTATCTTCTACTACATTTCTAGAAATATGTATCATCGTCGAAGAGCAGAGTCACTGACCGCGCGGATTATTTTAGCTTCACTCTCCTCATCTTTGACGCAGACCATCACCCAGCCGGTAAGTTGTTACCATCGCCATCCTCATCAGTTGTAGCTACCAGCAGCTATTCTCATCACCGGACCACAGCGTCATCTACCCTACTCGCCCAATACTCGACATCAGCATTCGCAGACATTATATCGTCACTTTGATCAGTGATTGAACTCTCTCGCCAGTACGCTAGTTACTACAGCTTCATCTTCATCGAGCAGAACCATATCCTGTGAGTCTCCATCCCTGGACGATTGCCTCTACTATTCTTTTCGCGAAGCCTTGCGATACTAATACTCTGCGTGGCCAGATACAATGGAAAGCAACATGCAGCAGCAGCAGTTTAACGACCAGGCTTCTGGTAGCAACGCTTCTGACGGCGACATGAGCGCCTATGGCCACGGCGCTCAGCAGATCCAGCAGCATCAGGCCGAAAACAATGCTCCTGATGGCCCCGCTGCTGACAGCCCTGGTTATGACAGCAACCTGCACGCTCACGATGATGATATCCAGCAGTCCCAGCAGCTGCAGGCCCAGCAGCACCATGTGTCTGCCCCCAACTCTCACCCCGGCATGATCCCGTAAGCACCCGTCCCTTAACACTGACATACATTAATACTAATCACCTTATGCTCAGGACCGCTCAAGACCCCAGCGCCCAGAATCAGCATCAGTTCGCGCCCCAAGCCCACGGCCAGCCGTCCGCCATCATGGCTGCTCACGGTCCCCAGCAGCACCAGCAGTCCCAGGTCTTCGGCCAGGTTCTTCATGCCCAGCAGCAGGTGTACAACGCTGTCAGTGCCGCAATGCCGGCTTACAACCTTCATAACGTCAACATGGTTGCTCAGGCTCCCCAGCACCAGATGCCCAACGCTGTCGGTGCCGGAATCCCTGGACCCAACGTCCATAATGCCATCATGGCTGCTCAGGCACCCCAGCCCAGCCTCCATGGGGCCGCCAACCCGAGACCGTGTTCAAAGTGCCGCAAAAGTGGCAATATTGCCTGGAATACCCGCTGGCAGGACCCGGACGCACAGCCGCTCGTCTGCAAGACGTTTGCGACCTGCAACCACTGTAAGTGGTCGCCTCGCTTGCAGTTCGAGACGGCTGTGAACTGGGTTCTTCGCAATGCCCCTTGGCTCCTCAACGACGTCGGTGCCTACTGCCCTTGCTATGTGGGGGACGCGGGCAACCACTGGCCTCACCCTATGTGCATCACCCGCACCCGCGCGGGTGCTCGCGCTCCGGCCGCTGCTCCGGCCGCTGTGCTCGCTGCCGCTCTCCTCGGGGCCCCCCCTGCGGGCTTCGTGCCTAACCCCGTGGCCCCTATGGCCCAGATGGGGCCTGCTGCCGGCGCCGCTCACTATGACCTCGAAGATGGAGATTCTGAGCTTTTCGTGAAGCAGGATGAATTCTAAGCCGGATGTTGGGCGCCGCTTTAGATTAAAACCCCTTCTCGAAAGGGGAGTGTAGTCAAGAAATACAATGAGAAGATTTGAAAGCTCCAGGACATCACTTTGCTCTGTTTCTTGCAGTCCCAGTAGTTCACACAGCACAATGAGTTTCTTTCACAGTTTAGAAGTTGACTATCCCTTATGCACGTATTCGTGTGAGAATCCGCTGCTGCTAGTGGAAGTCGAGGCTCGGCCGAGGCAGGCCGAGAAGGAGAAACAGAATTGGAGAAGACAGGGAATTGATTCGCGCGGAACTCCACAGCAGAAATTGTAAGTTGTGACTGGTCGGGACCCTTGGGGGCGACGGCAAGAGGGAGGTTTGGAGCCGAAAGTCAAGACCTATTCCCTGTTGACCTGGCAGATGCTTGCATGAAGGTGGTGTTTATTTTCTGGGGGAATCGGATGGTGGGAGCCTCCCCTTGATTCGAGCGTGACCAGACCGCGTCGTTCGGAGTAGCCAGCGTTCTTTTCGGAATCGGCATCTGTATCTGCGTCTGTAGCTAGAACCAAGAACTAACTGGTTGTCCTGGGCGTCAAACGTCAGCATCGATCAAGCTTCTGGCAGGTCTTCGTCCATTGTGTCTTCTCATGCCGTGTCTAATTTCAATAATGAGCCAGGAGGCAACGAACAGGACAGGATGAGCCGATTAGCCTCGGGAGAAAACCGTGGTCAAAGTCGGCTGTTTAACGCAGGTCCAATGGATAGTGGATGTTGTTGTTGGTCGTTGACTCGTTGTTTGTTCTCTTAAGGTTGCAGTGGTTGTTGTCGGGTGCAACCGGGGATGACCCATGGGTACGTACTGCCCTGGGTAGCTCCGGATCTGGAGCATCTAAGGAATTACCTAAGCTCGGTATAGGGAGACGGATACGTACTCAGGCATTTAACCGTCGCTCTGCACCTCGAATTTTCCTTCTTTTCGTGACTGCTTCTCCTCTCGACTTCCACATCAAACAGAAAATAACTGAAGAATATTCAGGCTTTCCCCGGTCATTGTGGCACACAACAGCTGCACATCGTCTTCTCCAACGGCAACGAACCAACAAACGAAAGCGAGGTGGTGGCATTGCAGATGAAGGGCGCAAAACTTGGGGAAACCCAGTAGAAGAGGTGAGGGCTGGGCCTGCCTGGATGGGGAAGTCCTTCAGCGCATCCCTCCGCTAATTGAACCGGCCATCAAGGCCTAGACGGTCGTGATGGTGGCCTTACAGCGAGCTCCAGCGACTCCTCAGCGGCCCCGGGCATCCAGTGCGGCCCATCACGCCACTAAATCCCCAGACTTACCCCACATCTCCTTCCTGATCGAACCCACCATGTCCCACCTTGCCCTCGCTAATGGCGCTAGTCCTCGCCAAACGGCACTAGTCTTCTATCGGACGCGCTAGGCACATTTACTCTTCCGATCCCCCAGGCCACCCGCCGCCATCCCCAACCGTCAATTTCGTCCTCGAGAAAAGTTCCACCAATTGTCCTCCTCCAAGCCTCGGACGACATTTCCCTTCTAGCCTCTTGAAGTCAAGTTTGTCTCTTACGCTTCTTCTTTGCTTTGATGCCTCGATCCTAGACTGACCACTGACCAGAAAGCCCCCCAGATTCGACGGTCCGTCGTCCCTACTGCGCCGCCATCCTGCCTCCCCCATCTTGACTTTATGTGTCAGTCACCACCAGTCACGAGTTCACCCCCTTGTCTCCAGACTCGTTACGAAAGACTCCTCGAGGACGAGAACCCCGGACTCCTTTTGGCACCACATTGACAATGGCCCATCAGTAATCTGCTTCTCCCCGCCCCCGGTTGCCTTCCCTTAGCTACTCCCGCCGGCGTCTTGGATATTTCGACCATTCACAGCTTGTCAACTCCCTCGTCTCTCTCCGCACTTTCTTCCCCATGGCTTCCTTCACCCACTCAACATCTTCCAAGACCGTCAATCCCGCCGCTAATCACAAGGCCCCGATCGGCTTTCCACTTGAATGTGGGTTCTGCCTCGCACATGGCCAGCATTTCCCATGCCCGCCCAGACTTTCAGTCCCAAGAGGAGAGCATGGCTTGAGCGTGAACGGTATAGCCTACCCCGGCCGGCACGACGAAGGATCTCCAACACGGTCTGATTGGGGAATGGGCCATCCAAGGAGGCCAAGCTTGGGGGGAACAAACTGCTTCTCCACGGGGTCGGCTCAGGCCAACCCAACCATCCCATCCTCGTCCCAGTACCATGCATATTCTGCAGACTGCAACCATGGCATGAGACGAGAGGAAGCCGACTGTCTGGTACTACCTTGATCTCGCCTCGACGCAACTTTAAAATACTCCAACTGCCCACCCCCAGCTCACCGTGCCTGGTCCCTCCAGTCTCTTCTCGATACGACTCTGCTCCAGGAGCTTGCCCATCGTCAACAGCTTCAAGCAGCCCGAGAGCGTTCGCAGCCATGTCCAACGACATCACCCAAAAGACGGCATCCCAGCCTCAGGACCCTATTCACGTCGAGAAGGGTCCATCTCACATCACGCACCTCAACGACGTGAGCCTCGACGACAAGGGACTCAACAATGAGGCCCACGAGGGTACCAACATTGAACATAGCTTCGGTGTCTGGCAAGGTCTCAAGACCTACAAGCGCGCCGCCTTCTGGTCCATCCGTGAGTTATTCTTTGAAAACGGGACTTACGTTTGCAAGTCATCGTCTGACACTTCTCCTCCTCTTCAGTCATCTCAACCACGGTCATTATGGAGGGTTACGACGTCACCTTGATCGGCTCCTTTTACGGTTATCCCGCATTCCGCGAAAAGTACGGCGAATACCTCGACGAGGAAAACGGCTACCAGATCTCTTCAACCTGGCAACAAAAGTTCAACGCCATCGGAGCTGTTGCAAACATCGTCGGCGCCATCTTGAACGGATACTTCACCCCAAAGTACGGTCACCGCAAGGTCCTCATCGTTTCACTCGTCTGGCTCGCCGCCTTTGTCTTTGTCGTTTTCTTCGCCCACAACATCGAAATGCAACTGGCTGGTCAAGTCCTCTGCAACGTTCCTTGGGGTGTCTTTGCCACAACTGGCCCTGCGTACGCTGCAGAGGTCACGCCCCTTGCAATTCGTGGATACCTGACTTCCTACGTCAACTTGTGCTGGTGTATCGGTCAATTCATCTCTGCCGGTATCCTCAAGGGACTCGTCGACGTCAAGGGTCAATGGAGTTACAAGATCCCCTTTGCCGTGCAGTGGGTCTGGCCCATCCCCCTCATTATTGCCGCTTGGCTCGCCCCTGAATCTCCCTGGCACCACGTTCGTCAGGGCAACCTCGACGCGGCGAAGAAGTCGCTGGCGCGTCTCTCAGAGCCTGAACACAACGTTGATCTCGATGCCACTGTTGCCATGATGGTTCACACGAACAAGCTCGAGATTGAAGAGCAAGCGGGCGCTTCTCTGTTTGACTGCTTCAAGGGAACTAACCTCCGACGTACCGAGATTGCTTGCATGGCATTCATGTCTCAGATTACCAACGGCGGCGCCCTCTGCTACTCCGGCTCCTTCTTCTTCCAGCAAACTGGAATCAGTCCCTCTGCTTCGTACGCCATCAGTTTGGGAGGTACCGGTATCGCTTTCCTCGGCACCTGCATCTCTTGGCTATACATCTACAAGTTTGGTCGTCGTACCATCTGGATTGTCGGATTCTCTCTTCTCGTGGCCTGCCTATGGATCATCGGATTCTTGTCTGTTGCCCCGAACCAGACTGGTGGCATCATCTGGGGACAGTCCATCCTTTGCGTCGTATGGCTCGGCTTCTACTCCATGTCCGTCGGTCCTATCGTTTACACCCTCGTCGCCGAGGTTGGCTCGACTCGTCTTCGCACACAGACCGTCGTTTTGGCTCGCAGCACCTACTACGTCGGTAACATCATTTGTGGTGGTCTCATTCAGCCCAAGATGCTGGCTCCTGGTGACTGGAACCTGAAGGGAAAGACTGTGAGTGACAGTACCAATTTCAGACAGCATCTGTGCATGACTAACTTTGACTAATAGGCATTCTTCTGGGCCGTTCTTGCTACCCTAACCTGGGTCTGGGGCTACTTCCGCATGTTCGAGACCAAGGGCCGTACCTTTGGCGAGATGGATGTCATGTTCCAGAAGGGTATCTCAGCTCGCCAGTCCAGCAAGTATCAGCTCACCTCGGAAGAGGTGTTCATTGCCGAGCAGCACCAGACTCTGAGCAGGAACCAGACGGAGAAGTTGTGATTTATGATCAAGTTTATGAGTTAGAGATACCAGAACATAATCCCTTTCGAGGGACTCAGTCATTTATAGCCATCTATATCAGATGATGAATTGCCAGCGCGCATGCGCGCGAGCTTGTCGAATTCAAAGCCGGAGACATAATACCCAAAGCGAAGCATATATCTCATAGATATGGTCTTGTGTCTATCCGTGAGCGACAATATCTACATGCTGCTACTGCTACCGTGCCACACAACCCTCACTTAAACTCACACATACCCTTAAGTTGACAGAGGCAAGACTTCAAAAGCAGGGGTCTCGTAGACATCCCAATTATCCGAAGCCTCGGGGTTTCCGAACGGAACCAAAGCAGCGAATCGCATCTTATACTTGCCAGGCGCGATCTGCGTACCATTCGCCAGACGACCCAGCCACCACAACTCAACACCATACACACCGACGATATCTCTAGGCACGTCACGCATGGGCAGCGTGATGATATCATTCGGATCATCCACGCTAGGATCAATAAACGTCTTCCCCGAGGCCTTGGACCAGCTCGTCGCCGCGCCCACGAAGCCAGCCTGGCCGACGACGGGAGGGTACTTCCAGTCCCTCTCCACCCAGGATGCATCAAAGATGTCCCACCGCAACTCGCGGGTGGCGTACTGGATGCGGGCGTATAAGTTGGGAAAGTCTTGGACTGCCGGGTCAAGGTTGAACGTGAAGTTGAATTTTTGAGCAATGGGAACGTC